CACACACACACACACACACTCACAAACACACATGCACACACAGGCACACAGCATTTTAAACCTTTATCCAAACACCATAGTCGATTAGATTCAGTAAAATGAGCAGCTCTGTTTCTCAAAACTGTCTAAAACTATCCATATGAGCACCAACATAGAGGAATACAAAAGAAATCTCAAACAGATACATTAAATAAATAACAGGCTAGACAATTCGATTGATGCTGACTAAAAAATTAAGGAAGTCCATACGGAACAACAGATGTAGGTGGCATGGGAGGCAGATAACAGTACTTGATGCAGCTACAAAATGCTATCAAGGAATTCCAATTAATGTTTCCTCATTTATCCCAACAGCAAATATTTATACAACACTTGAAACGGATTCCTGAGCTATCAGAAATAGAGTAAGCCTTGTGGGGAGCCAGTCAGGGTTCAAATCTTTACTCTATCTCTTGTCAGCTGGATTATTTTCTTAAGCTTCAGTTTCCTTACGCACGGAGACACTAGCTGACACTACAGACTAGCCTTGCAGAGTTAGTGTCCAAGTTAAACATGACATAGGGAAAGTGCCTAGAACTGCCTAGTGCATAGTCATTATTCAATACATCATAGTAAGTGTCTTCAGGAACCAAGGTTAGGGCAGTGTGACTAAAGACTGTGTAGGTCTAGGGAGATGTGTCACTGACATAACTGTTGGTTGCATAAACATGAGAACCTGAGTTTGAATCACACACACACACACACACACACACACACACACACACACACACGGAAAGCCAAACTTGGTGTTCCTGTGAGACAGTGAGCTTCAGATTCAGAGAGAGACCCTGTTTCAAAAAATACCATGGAGTGCAAGACAGGAAAACACTCAATATGGACCTCTGTCTAATCTATGCACACAAAAACAGATACACACACACACACACACCCCTGTTTAAACTGATCCCATGAAAGACTTACCCTTCCTCTGAGAACCAACAGACACAAGTTTGGGGCTGCTGATACTGGAAAATGGAGAGCCAGGTCTCCCAATTCTTTCTGACTGGAGACATTTAGACCTAGAAGTTTCTCTGACATCAGACTAGTTTCCCTACTCATTCCTCCAGCTGAGAACTAGCTCCATGGACTGGTGTCCTTTCCCAATGCCTCTGCTTGCATAGCAGAGGGACGTGTGGCTGAGGGAAGGCACAGCCAAGCCCTGCTCCTGTTCCAGAGCCTGCTGGGTCACCAGCACACACAGGCAAGGACAGCCCCCGTTCCCTTCCCCGTGGGAATGTTGATGGCAACATGATTCTGAACGAACCTGTTAGCTGCCCTCAGTCTGAAAGCTCCCACATTCATCTGAAAACACTTATCAGAGGAAAAGGTCAAAGGGTCATGTGGTGAAACCAAGATGACCCAGTTTGAATATGACAGAGCCAGGGTCCAGGGCAGTGAGCCAGGAGCTATGAACCAGCAGGATGTGCAGGAAGAGGAGGCCAGAGAGGGCCCTTCTGCTTCCAGGTCAGTCATAACACAGGACCTCGGGCCTTCCTCTCGCTTCCTCGAAAACCTCAGTTGTAATGATAACTTTGCCAGCACATTCCAGGAAGGGCCCAATACAAGGATCCTTTGCTAAGAACCCATAAACACAATGGCATTTGGACACAAGGAAGAAGAACTTGAAAAGTAATTTATTCACTTGTCCCAGACTTTGCACTAAGCATCCTGGCCCCAGCTACAAAGGCATAAAACCCAATCTTTTCTTTGATAGTACATCATTCTGTCACCAACAGTCACCAACTCCGGTAGGTTAGATCTCAGGTTATAATTAAGGGCACTTACTTTCAAACCTCCAAGAGTCTTAAAATGAAGGAATTCTGTCTATCATAACAACCACAGCTTTGTATCCACAGACGTGACCCCTTGGCTCAACAAGGACAATAGCGCCCTTTTGACTCAGACAGCCCAGCAAGTCCAACTCACGGGAGAGGAGGGTGCCAGTGCCCCCACGCACCTGCTCTGCCGGCCTCCCACCTTCCTTCCGAGCGGCTCCAGGGACCTGGTGAAGAGAGCCTTCCCCTCTCGTCAAGACTGACAAAGTCCAGATGCCACATCTACCAAGACTCACCTGCCTTTCAAATCTACAGCCGATTAGTTACCTCTGCAACTGCCCGGCCTCCATGGAGCTGATTCATTAGGGCAAAGTACAGTGTCGCTCCCGCAGGCTGGGACAGTCCTGACTTGGCGTATTTGCTCAGAACCTGGTAGGGGCTGGTGCTTCTGTTTGCCTGGTCATGGACTGAACCAGCTGCACTCCAATGAGAAGACATCCAAACCCCTGACACACAGGAAATACGGAAGAGGGTCGGACGCTAGGAAAAGGGAGCTCAGAACGGCCTGAGGCAGCCTGGTCTGAGAGGCAGAGCACCACCTTCTGGGTGTGGACTTGTGGCCGGCTCTGCCAGGGG